TTATCAAGGATTCATGAGGGAGGGGGGAGTGGGGAGGGAGGGGGAAAATGAGGAGCTGATGCCAGGGGCTTAGGTGGAGAACAAGTGTTTTGAGAATGATGAGGGCAATGAATGTACAAATGTGCTTTACACAATTGATGTACGTATGGATTGTAATAAGAGTTGTATGAGCCCCTAATAAAACAATAAAAACATTACAATAAATAAATAAAATAAATGCAATATTATCATGAAAAAAAATAAAGAAAATTTAGTCATTCCAGGGTAAGATATGACAAAATAATAATTTATAAATTATCAAGGGTTCATGAGGGAGGGGGAGCAGGGAGGGAGGAGGAAAAATGAGGAGCTGATGCCAGGGGCTTAAGTGGAGAGCAAATGTTTTGAGAATGATGAAGGCAACGAATGTACAAATGTGCTTTATACAATTGATGCGTGTATGTATTGTGGTAAGAGTTGTATAAGCCCTCAATAAAATTATGTTTTTAAAGGAGTAAAACTAAAAAAGAAAACTCAGGGCTGGGTAAACATTTATTAGACAAACAGAATAAATATCAGACAAAACAGAATTAATGCTAAAAAGCATTAAATGAAACAAAGAATACTTTTAGTGATAAAATAATGCTAAAAATTAAGGTATAATAGTCATGAATACCTGTGCATCCATAACACAGTAACCAACTATAGAAGATAATGAGAAAGTTGGTGCCAACACTAATAACTGGAGGATGTAACATACAGCTTTCATTACAAAACATATTTAAGTGGACAAAAATAAGTAAAGATATAGAAGTTTTAAACAATACAATCCATAAAATTGATTTTATAGATCTGTGTGTAATTTTATACCTTGATAACAGATACTAAACTTTTTTCTAGTTCACATTGAACATTCACTAAACTGATCACATATAAAACTAATCTCAAAGAAACTATCATTAAGTCAAGATATCACATTCTCTAATCACAATATAATAGATATAAAAATAATGCTTAACAAGATCAAATATTCAAAAACGTTGTATTAAATACTGTGATGCCTCTGAGCTCAAATTTTCCACTTCTCAAACAGAAAAGTTAGTAAAAAAAAAAATCTGCTCGGTGTCTGTAATTTTGCTGGATAGTCAACTGAAAATCTGACTTGAAAAAACCTGTATGGGCTAAGAGTGAATCACTTGTCATGTCTCGCTCAAGGTACAAAGGGATGCTCTTTCAGCCAAACTTCGCTCTTGCTCAATTTTCAGTGTTTACGTTAGTGTGTTAAAAAATTCATCCCTTTTTTTGTACTTTAGTTGCATAAAATATCATAAGCATGGCTCCAAAGAAAGTTAGTGATACCAGTAGCAAAGCTAAGAGGAAAACGATAGGAACCACAGTAGAGTTAAAGAAATCACTGAGAAATTGGGATCAAGTCGCCACTTGACTGATTTAGTAGCCGAATATAACATGTATAAGTAGACGTTATCAACAGTTTTGGGGGGGGGGGTGTTTGAGGCTAATGTAACTAAAGGTATGAAATCATTAACCAAGAAAAACAAAAAAACCTGACAATCGAAGAGGTTGAAAAGTTAGTTAATTTGGATAAATCAGAAGGAACTTGGGCAGCATCAGCGGTGGTGGAGGCAGCAGGAGGAGGAAGAGAAGAAGGACCAAGCAGCGGTGGCGGCGAGGGGAGGAGGGAAGGAGGCGGCTGAGTGGGAGGACAAGACAGAGGAGCAGGCGTAAGCTCTCCGCGGGGCTAGCCGGTCTTCTGGCCGCCCCCACCACCACCACCACCACCCCTGTTCGCCATGCCACCATGTAGTTTGCCCATTTGCCCCAGTGGGCGGAGGGGATAATGGCCCAGGAGCAACCGCGCCAGTAACAGGAAAGCGCTGAGACTTGCCTAGGGCGTGAGGGGCCCTGGTGTCGCTGCCTCCGCCCACCTCTCTTGGCCGCTCCCCCCCCCCAACACCCCCCTCCCTGGTCAGACACACGCACACAGGCAGGGCATTGATGGTAATATATGTGAGGAAACAGCAGAGACTCCGTGATGGCTGTTGAGACCACAGGGGAGACTCATAGCCTTACCAGGCACTTAAATATTCATCGAAGAGTCACCCCAGTAGTGGTGATCACAGACATGAAAAGATGTGAGACGCCGCAGATCCTTCACCACCAAATAAAATGTTGAGAAGATCTGATAGTCCTGAAAACAAATATAGTGACAGCACAGGTCACAGTAAGGCCAAAAATGTGCATGCTCACAGAGCTAGAGAGAGGGATGGTGGGACCAGTTATTCTACACAAGAAAATTCACACAACCAAAGTGCTCTTCATAGTTCAAATTCAAGCAATAACCCAAGCAAAACTTCAGATGCACCTTATGATTCTGCAGGTGACTGGTCTGAATACCTTAGCTCTTCTGGGAAAAAATACTACTACAATTGTCAAACAGAAGTTTCACAGTGGGAAAAACCAAAAAAGTGGCTTGAAAGAGAACAGAGACAAAAAGAAGCAAACAAGATGGCAGTCAATAGCTTCCCAAAAGATAGGGATTACAGAAGAGAGGTGAGACAAGCAACAGTAACCAATGGGTTTGCCAATGGAATGGAAGACAAGAATTCCAGTGATGCCAGTAGTTTGCTCCCACAGAATATTTTGTCTCAAACAAGCAGACACAATGACAGAGACTACAGACTGCCAAGAGCAGAGACTCACAGTAGTTCTACACTAGTACAGCACCCCATCAAACCAATGGTTCATCCAACTGCTACCCCAAGCACTGTCCCCTCTAGACCATTTACACTACAGTCTGATCACCAGCCAAAGAAATCATTTGATGCTAATGGAGCATCTACTTTATCAAAACTGCCTACATCCACATCTTCTGTCCCTGCACAGAAAACAAAAAGAAAAGAGTCTACGTCAGGAGACAAATCTGTATCCCATTCAAGCACAACACCTTCTATGTCTTCTGCCTCTGGACTGAATGCCACATCTGCACCTCCAACAATTGCTTAGGCAGTCCCCATCTCACCTGTTCCACAGTCATCAATACCTCCGTTACTGCAGGACCCAAATCTTCTTAGACAGTTACTTCCTGCTTTGCAAGCTACACTGCAACTTAACAATTCTAATGTGGATACATCCAAAATTAATGAAGGTCTTACAACAGCTGTGACACAAGCCTCACTACAGTGTATAATTCATAAGTTTCTTACTGCTGGACCATCTGCTTTCAACATCACTTCTCTGATCTCTCAAGCTGCTCAACTCTCTACACAAGCCCAGCCATCTAATCAGTCTCTAATGTCTTTAACATCCAATGCATCATCCCCAAGATCTTACATGTCTCCAAGAATAAGAACACCTCAGACTAACACAGTTCCTGTCAAACCTTTGGTTAGTACTCCTCCTGTTTCATCACAGCCAAAGGTTAGTACTACAGTAGTTAAACAAGGACCAGTGAGATATTTATTGTGCCAGCCTGGCCGATAAACACAAGTGGGATTAACTGAAGGGCAGAGAGATAAATGGCTTTGTGAGCCTCGTCTTTCTTGTCTCTCGCTCTTTGATCATCGGACCAGTGTGTGGCTGCCTTGCTTGTTCTGTGCCTCAATTTAAAGGTTCCACTACCTGTGGGACACCTAGCCTGTGGACTCTGTCGCTATAAATTGAGGTCCCTTTAAGACATCTATGGAGCTGGAGACTGGCGGTTGGTGACCTGGCTGGCAGTTGGTGACCTGCCTTGTGATTGGCTGCATATACAGTTCATTTCTTGTTATATATCTAATTAGCTTTATAAATAAATATATTATCAGCAATTTGGTTTTATCTCTCTAGAGAACCCTGTCTAACACAACCAGTTTCACAATCAGCCACTCAGCAGCCTGTACCTATTGAGAAACAGGAAGGTCATGAGCCTGTTTCTCCTCGAAATCTTCAGTGCTCAAGTAGCCAGAGAAGTCCGTCGCCTGGCCCAAATCATACATCTAGTAGTAATGCATCAAACGCAACAGTTGTACCTTCGAATTCATGTGCCCGGCCGATGTGTTCATTAACACCCACGCTAGCAGCACACTTCAATGAAAATTGCATAAAGCATGTTCAAGGATGGCCTGCAGATCATGCAGAGAAGCAGGCATCAAGGTTGCGCTAAGAAGCCCATAACATGGGTAGTGTCCACATGTCAGAAATATGTACTGAATTTAAAAACATAAGATCTTTAGCTCGAGTATGTGAAATTCAAGCAACTTTGCGAGGGCAAAGGACACTATTTTTGAAACAACAAATTAAGGAACTCGAAAAGCTTCATAGTGTGAAGATGTGAATAACTGCACATAGTTTGAGTACAGGAACTGTCTATCTGTTGTCCCATCTTAACATGTGGGAGCAACATTTAAAGTGGACTTTGGACCGTTAAGCTGGGCAAAAGTAATGACAAGGGGATGGGTCTGTGAGAGTCATTCAGGGGAAAGATACAAGATGGATTTGTAAAACCCTTGAACTGTAGATTTCTTGTAGATGTATTCTTCACCTTGTAAATATGTTTTATAGAGTGAAGCCATGGGAAGCCATGTGTAACAGAGCTTAGACATCCACAACTAATCAATGCTGAGGTGGCTAAATACCTAGCCTTTTACATGTCAACCTGTCTGCAAAATTAGCTTTTTTGAAAAAAAGAATGTAAATCGGGGGATTAATTTATCATTCAGCAATCTTGCGTTTTCAGAAATTCAGCGCAAGCACCAGGCAATCTGTGTCTAAGGAGGTGATTTTGAACCATATGGGCAGTGTACAAAATATCATGAAAAAACTGTTTCCACACTTAACCCTGATCAAGAGCAGTGCTTCTCCATTTGTTTTGCAGAGAAATATTTTTCATTTCCTGTGTGTTCCAGTTCCCTCTGAAACCCTCGATCTGATTTTATCCATTTTTTTAAAGGCTCCTCTTCTTCTCCTTTCTGAAGGCACTGTTGCTATGGCACTTTTCTATAACCTTTTCATTCCTGTGTACAGTAGCTTAAAATTGCAGTGATTGAGCATAACCCACTTGTTTGTATAAATTATTGAAATCCATTTGCACCCTGTAAGAATGGACTTAAAAAGTACTGCTGGGCCTGTGGGCTGAAAGTACACTGATTTCTCAAATACAAAGGAAATAGCCCAGTGAACATGGTTGTGGGAGGGGACAAAGGAAACAAAGCTAGTCAGATGTGAATTGTATCTGTTGTAATAAACATGTTAAAACAAACAAAATTTGTTAATTTTCATTTCCTTCAGTCAATGCATATTAGAATTTGAACTACCTGGGGATTCTTTATCAGAACTATTCTTGTTGACTATTTATACTTGATTCAAATAATTATTTAAGGGAAGTTTTGTTTAAGGCATTTTAACAGAAAATTGTGTATATTTAATGAAATACAAAATTCAACAATAATGATTGAGTCACTTCCCAAGTGGTTGTCATTTGTTGAACCCTGGTTTACCTGTTTTACTATCATGACATTTCATTTGGAAGGATGTTTGTGTTGTAGCTAACTGTTTGAATCTGGTGCTGACTTCTGTTCTTAGGCATCACAAAACGCTGAATTTGTGAAACTGGAGCTTCCTGCTGTTAGCTGGAAATGGTGGGAAAGCTCGGCTTTGTATATTGTTTCCTAAAGTATATTAAAATAAAAAAAGAAACTATTGCTACTAAACAAACAAACAAAAAAGAAGCAACTCAAAGGTGATAGCATATCCAGTACAATGATATGTGAGAAGACTAAAAGCCTCCATAGTGATTTAATAAAAAATGTTGTGGGAGCGAATGCTGAGCAACCTAAACTGTTCAAAGCCAGCCATAGCTAGTTTAAAAAATTAAAAAGAGACCAGGCAGACACACTGTAATGAAGCATGGGAAGGGGCAAGTGCAAATAAAGATGAAATCGATAAATTTGTGGCTGAATTCGCTGAATATGTGTAGGTTGATGTTTCCCAGCAAGTGTTTAACTTTAGTAAAACAGGACATTTTTGGGGTAAAAAAATGCTCAATTACACCTTCATTACAAAAAAGTAAAAGACATTACAAGGCCACAAGCAAATGAAAGATAGGCTCATTCTGTTGTGTGGGAATCTTAGTGGGGATTTTAAAGTGAAGCTGATGTTACTGTATTATATCAAAAACTGATAGATTTTTTAATTATAAAACATAAGAAAATTTATTAATTTTATTTGCTGTATTGTGATTTGATATTGAATGCATTGTATTTATTGAGTTTAGATGATTTAGAGGGTCTTTCCAAAACCTAGAGATGCTAACTTTGGAAAAAGACATGGAAAAATGAATTTATAACTATAATTTTTGGGCCTCAGAAACAATTATTTGGTTTTCAATTATCTGGGAAACATATGTTCAGTTCTCAAACTTTTCAGTGTTCAGACATGAATCCGAATGAATTGAAATAAAAAATGGAGGTATTGCTGTATCTCTTGAGAAAAGAAAAAAATAGGGGGAAAAAACCAAAACCATCCTGCTAGAGCTAATAATGAGTACAAGAAAGAAGAAAATGTTCTAAAATTGATTGTGGTGGCAATTGAAAATGCTTTTTAATATGTTTATACTATTGAATCGAATGATATGTGAACTATATGTCAATGAGTTGTTAAAAAGAAAACCAAGCCCCCTCCCTAAAATGATAGCAAAAACACTATAAAGTAAAAAATCTATCATAGATATTTAAAGAGGTGATGAGGAGTATATTAAATAATTTGAATACTTTAAGCAATAAAACAAAACAAAAAGAATTATATTCCCAGTTCTTAACTATACAAACTTATTGTGATTCATTTTTCATTGTTTTCTATGGGGTTTCCCAGATGTGAAGCACGGGGGGAGTGGATGTATAACAATAACTGATACAAAATGTTATAGGGAATGTAGGGGTGAGGGATGGGTGATAGGGAGGGAAAGAGGATTTCGGAAATAAATAAGGAAGATGGAAAGGGAGAGGGAACACTAGAATTGATCATGGTTACACAACTCATTTTAAAGGTGGTTCAACCACGGCAGGAAGGAATGCTGGAAGGTAGACGCCAGGGTGATTGTATAATTCTACCTTGATATGATTGAATGATTGAGCAATTCAATTATATGGTATGTAAATTATGTGCCAATAAAACAGTTGGGGATAAGAAAAGAATAAGAAAGAAATTGGTTCACAACAGAACCAACATAAATTAAAAAGATTAAAACACAATAATAAAAAATATTATACTCCAACAAATTCATAAAGCTACATGAGATGGAAATTTTTTCTGGAAACACACTATCTACTCAAATTAACACAGGCTGAGGGAGAAAACTCTAACAAAAGTAGAAGTATATCATTTCATTTTAAAGTTCCAACAAAAAATATCCAGGGCCAGATGGCTTCACTGGGGATTCTACCAAGTATTCATAGAAGAGTTGACACCAATTACATACAAACTATTACAGGATATAGAACAAGAGAACAAACTCCAAAATTCATTGTATGAAGGGAACATAACCCTGAAGCAACAACCAGGCAAGGAATCTACAAAGATAGAAAACTACAGCTCAACATCTCTTATGAATAGAGATGAAAAATTGTCAACAAAATCATGACCAATAGAATCCAATAATACACACACACACACAAATACACTATGGTCAAGTGAGATTCATAACAGGTACAAAGGAATCGTTCAACATTAAAGAGATGATGTATGAATCCACCACATAAACAAAAGATTGATGAACCATTAGGGATAGCAAGTAGAACAAGGATTTTGAGGTGGGGATGGGCCATGAAGGGAAGGGGTCAGGTAAAAGGGAGACAATGTCAAGGAACCCAGGAAGAAATAGTGTGTTTGGAAACTGATTATAGAAGTGATGGTGCAATTCTACTTGACATGAATGAATGATGCAATGACATGCCATTTGAGTTAATGCCCATGTAATAATAAATTTAAAGAAGAAGAACAACAAAAACACACCATAGATCCAGGAATGGGGATTAGATTTACACTAAATCCAAGCTCCAAATTAAGAACAATTAGTTCTTACAGCATGGCCCTGCTCAATACTCACCCTCAGGAATAGAACGCAGAGGATACAGGTGCTATAGCAAACTGTGGTGAAGAAATTAGATGGTGCTCAGTTATCAGATAAAATAGCATCTGGAGACTTAAAGATTAGTCACCAAACTAGCAGCCATCTAAGTGAGATGTCAACTAAGTCCACATGAAAAAAGCACACTATCATCAGTCACCAAAGTATTATAAATCATATAATCTGAAGTCGAAGGATGGCTTAGTATCAGAGCCTATGGTGTGACAATATGGTTTGCAGAAGGCTATGGATGACAGTAGGAGCCCAAGATCCATTTGCAGAACAGGTCCGGAAACTCCCTCTATTCACAATTGCGGGATAGGAGGAGAGTGGTTACTAAACAGAGTGCATTAGGAAGTTGACTAGAGAAGCTCAAAGGCATACATTTGACTTTAACAGTTAAAACTTTTGTCAGCGGATCCCCCTATGATGCATGCTAGACCATATCTGGTTTCTAAAATTTTCTGCATTTTTGGCTTGTATTGTTTTGTTTGTTTGTACATATTATGGCGTATCTCAGTGATGTTAAGTCATTGAAGCTGTGTTATATGGGTTTTTTTGTTTGTTTTTCAGTATATGAAACACAGGATTGATAATCCTATAGAGATAGAAAGTAGTTAAGAGTTTAGGGGGGAGGGGGATACAATGGTGGTGGCAGGATGAAGGAGAGTCAATGTCAAAGAGTCCATGTAGAAAAAGAATGTTTGGAAACTGATTGTGGTAGCAAATGTACAATTCCACTGGATGAGATTGAATTCCCAATTAATAATAAACTTTTTTAAAATGAAAAAAATCACATAATCATATCATTTAGGGCTATTCTCTTTTTCACTAACCTTCTATTTTACCAATGGAGCACTGGTGGCATAGTGGTTAAGCTCTGGACTGTGATACACATAGTCAGCAGTTCCAAACCATCAGCAGTTCTGCAGGAGAAAGGCTGGGCTTTCTACTCCCATAAACAGTTACCATCTGGGAAACCCACAGGGGGTCACTATGAGTCAGCACTGACTCGATGGCAGGGAGTTTGGAGTTTTGGTTTTCTACTTTACCAAGCATGATGCCCTTCTCCAGTGACCAGTCTCTTTGAAAACATGACCAAAATATGTGAGGTAAAGTTTCACTATCCTTGCCTCTAAGGAGCATTCTGGATGTACTCATACATCTTCCAAGACAAGTTGGTTTGTCCTTTTGGCAATCAATGATGCTTT